GATATGCCTAATTAGGTGGCGAGAACACTCGTAAGAGCTGCAATTTCAGCTCCGCCCAGGAGGGAAACGTAGCTTCGACCGAATCGCCGCACGTCAGTGCCCATTCTCGCGCTCGACCACCGAGCTTTGAGGAGGCTAGCGCCACGCGCTGTTGCTCGGTTCGGGGCATGGCAGATGCGATGACCATCGCGACCTCTCTCTTACCAGAGCAGGAGATTCTCGCCATCCTTCCCCTCAAAAACCTTAACGCCCACCTTGAGCGGCTTATGGCGGGGGAAGTAATTTGTTACTGGTGGTTGCGTCATAGACGCAAATGAAGCAGACATCTGTAGGTGCTTTAACAGCGTGTTTTCGTAATTTAAAAACGCCTCTAAACGCGCACCGATTGCCTCGGGCCTTGCGCAGTAAACCGTTGCACGCCCTCGGGGCCCAGCAATTACATCAGCTATTTAAGCATGTCCTGCATGCCCTGGGGCACAGAAGAAAATTGTTCCATACTCACAAATGATCAGTCTAAACGATTCAGGTGTAGATTGACCAATAAGTGCTACCAAGTGCAGCGGGGCTACCGTAGCTTTGCGCTTAGAGGAAGCGTAATTTAGGTCACCGACCTTTCGTTCTATACTTGGAACAAGTACGAGTTAGCAGATCGCAATCCGCTTACTCCATGAGTAATTACAACCTTAACTCAAGGCTAAACACCTCTTCCGTTTAAATTCGAAACTGACTTTATTTATTTTTATCTGCGGCAAAGCCGCCTAATTTTAAATGCATAGATTTTTCTAAATCATACCATGCCCATCTGGTGTGACACACACACCTGTTACCAGGGTATGAGTAACCCCATTGCAGCCAGCACGCTGGTCAAACAGTCCGTCTAATGCAAAGAGAATTAAAACCGCTGACACATTTACATCGACGCAGCTATGTGCTTACGCACTTGTGCATGTTCGGTTACTAATCCACCAATACATTGCGCTTACCAAGCATGACGTCTTTTCTCTTCCGGTGTGGCAACCACAGAAATCTCATATGCCTTGTACAGTAATCTATACTTTTGATCCTCGTCAGAAGGCACCAGTGTAATGTGTATCATTGCTGTTATACAGCAATTCTGTGTATAAGGCAAAAGTGGGACAGTAAAAAAACCACGCGCGTTGACAGAACGACATCTAAGTCCTGATCATTGATTGCCGAAGAGATCATTGTGTTAAGCTAAGACTCAAAGTCGGGGTGGCGTGTACGCACATCAGCCACCACGATAAGCTGACCCGACTCAAATCTTATCTCGATAGTATATTTGGCGAGAAGACGAATCATATTGACATTCTTTGAGAGAGACGTGGTAAATACTTTGCCGTGCGTAACAATGCATTTTCTGTCTAAATCATACTCGGCTCTAAGCCAAGCAGATGCATTTAAAACTTGACGAAGGCATATTTTATTGCAAGTAGCTCCTAATAAAGATTCGTATACTGCGTACCGATATTGTGCGCGTAAAGCAAATGGTAAATGGCGTACCATTCACGCGTATAACACGCTGAATGCGCAAACGATTCCCGTGCAAACGCGAATTCTGCGAAAGGACGTCATCACCGTCCGTATGTTCGGCTGTATACAGTTTAATGTACTTGATTTAACTGATGGATATTACCAAATATTTGTAAGGGAGGATGACATCCCTTTGATGCTGAGAGTACACTGTCGGGTATCTTACGGGGATGAATTTTGATGCCACAGGGACTAACCAATGCCCCAACAGCGTTTGATTGACTGGCCCCCATCTGTTTCAACCACTGCGATACCTCGCATAAACCTATTTTGCAATATTTTCGTTCATTTAATGGATGAGAATGGCAGATCTGCCAAAAATATGCACTGGGAGCACTTCCATGCGTTACTGAAATGTATGCGTGAACATTTATCGCAACGAATCTTTCAAAGTGACATTTTTTCGTGGCTAACAAAGTACCGTTCTCGGTTGTTATGTTCGCGAACAAAGTGTTCGCACAGACCCTGAGAAGGTCAAAGAAATCGTGGAGTGGCTAACGCCACGAACGGATTGGTTTGTCCAGTTGCCTGCATCGCATCTCGCGAAACTACGCGGAAATGGTTCGCGTGCTATCGACTTGTTGAAAAAGGACGTACCATGAGAGTATTCATCCACACATGAAAAAGCATTTACTTAGATCAAAAATATCTTGATGTGAGCACCATTACATGCGTTACCATATGATATGAAGCCGTATAGCGTGGTGTGTGATGCTTCGAGATTACGATCGGTTGTGCATGATTGCAAAAAGGGTTCAGAAGGACACGATCGTGTCGTGTCATTTCAATGGCGGCAGCTGAAAACAGCATCGAAAAACAACTTTGTTCATGACAAGGAGCCTTTAGCAATAAAGTATGCTCTATTAAGGTTTCGTGTTTATCTCACGGGTTTGACTCCGTTCGTCGTCTATACGGATATCGCAAGCTTGTGTTGTGCGATTCAGTCGCCTCACTTGTCACAGCGAATAGCTCACTAGTTGTCATTCTTCGCAGAATGCATCTTCACGGTCACGTGTAAGGCAGGAGTTGGTAGATGCAATTTCATATCATCCTAATTAAGAGCTAACTCATAGCAGCTAAATCGAAAGCGATGTATCCAATATGATACGTCGAGCGTATGTTGAGGTTGAATAGTACAATCTGTTTATCAGAGCACTGTTATAAAGTGATATGGAATTTCATCACAAGCTTCCTGGTCGCCTGAAATCAGTGTTGCACCGCTATGCATTGAAGGGGGTCACCTTCACTATGCGTGACGATGTGCCTCGTTTTGTGGTTCCCCACAACGATGACTTTAAGCACAACATTGAGTACAAGGCGCGTACTACGGAGTTGGCCGTTCATTTTGGCCGTGAGAAGACCTACAAAGCACTCAGTACCCAATTTTGATGACATTACATGTAAAAGTGAGAGGCACGAGACGAGAAGACACGCGACGTCTGTCAGCGCGTGAAGAGCGCACGGCACACGCAAGCTCTACTGTAGAGACATCCTGTGCCAATTGACTGCTGGAAGTCAGTCGGTCTCGGATTTATTTCGGCGTACCCGAGAATGCCGATGGCCACAATTGGTGCTTGTCTTCGTTGAAAGACTCAGCAAGATGGTTTGCATTGCTCTAATTCCGTCGAGGCCAAAGGTTCGGCTAAATGTTTCATTCATTACCTTTACGCAATCATGGGCTGCTAGACGCCATCGTCATGATTGTGACACATGATTCACGGGCTTTTGAAAGCATTGTTCCGAAGTCATGGCTTTCGCTTAAATATATTCACAGCGGTCCACCAAGAGAGTTATGGGGAAAACAAAGTTCCAACCGAGTGGTCGGTGATGCGTTGAGAAGCTTCTGCGCGGAAAATTCTGCAGATTGAAGTGCAGTTTGTTGTTATCATTGATTGAGCTTGCTATGAACAATTTGGTTCATCCATCAAGTTAATTTACGCCATCCCTTGTGATTGGCTTGCGACACCCGCAAAAATCGCTATATGCGATGGGTGGTGTCTCTGATGTGGGTGGGTGGGGGAGGAGCTCGGCAAGTCGTTGCCTCTCAAATTAATACAATGAATAATTTGATTGTGCACCTCACGTACGAGTACGCTCTAAACTGATTCATCATGAGTCGTGTGAATATGATCACACGGGTGCGAGACGCAATGACGATTGCGCAAGATCTGCAGAAATTACACAGACAGACGAGGTCGTCAAAGCAAAATGTATTCTATTGTAGGAGATTATGTTTTACTTAGAAATAGAAACCTATCAGACGATGCGACCTCAAGCTTCGAAAGCTCGAAGCTATTACCTCGCTTCATCGGTCTATTCCGAGTAATGTTATGCAATTAATATGCTGCACTATCGACCTGCCAAGCTGTCTTGAAACCATTCAACGTTCTACATAGGGCTCCTCAAGCCCTTCCATCGCGACGATGCGATTCCCAATCTGGATGTAACGCAGTCTTATTTCAGGGTGGGTCTAGAGCGCAAGAGGGTCAAAGGTTTTTCCATGGGCGTCGCCGTCTCAGCATCACCCTCGAATCGACAGGAATAATAGGGAGCGCCCAAAAGAGAGCGAGATAGCTTGATCGGGAGGTCCGCTTCATCAGCGAAAGCAGCCGCAACAGACGGGAGAGCTCGCAGAGCCTGCTCCAAACGATGAATGCAATTCACGATAACATCCTCAGCGTATCCGTGATGACATGTGAAGCCGCAAACTTCGCGAACGAACTGTCGATAATCCTATACGCGTTGTCGATATGACGCCACTTAGTCAGTCACCTCGAACAGCCGCCGATTTCTCAGCGAGAGAAGATTCTCCACCTTCGCTCAAACGCAGTTCCAAGGAGGGCGAAAGTTGAGGACCGCCACAAAAAAGCAGAGGGGATGCTCGCTCCGGGCACCTTCCCCTCTTCTCGATCGACAAGGAGATCGATACTACCAGATCGAGAACGTTGTGGCGGAGAGGAACGTCCGCGGTCTAATGGATCACTTGGTGAAATGGCTGTGTCTCCAACGAGCGAGAATACGTGGGAGCTTCGTACTCGTATTTGTCGCGACTGTCTCAGTATCGTTCGCGCATTCGATAAGTGTTCGAAGACTGATTCCGTTTAGGGAAGCTGTCCCTAACTAAATTCTCTCTGTCGCTTTCGTCGTGAAGCCGACTGATGGCTTAGCGAGCTTTACGAGCATTCTCGATATCGGAGTGGACCCGATTCTGCGCTGTCATATTCGCAATTTGAAAGCGCATATCGCGTAACTTCAACAAAGCAGCAGCAGTGCTGGCGCTTTGCAAACGGTGGATATCCACGGACTGTTCTGGTTGCATAGACCCATGCTTAGAATCGAGTGTCGATTGTTTGGATGGAATCCAGAATGGATTGCTGGACCTATGGAACATGCGAGAGGCTTCGTGGTCCGCCTTCAGTCCGAGTAATCAGTCTGATTGCACGAAAATACGCGAATTGAGTCACCAATCGAGACCCACTCGACTAACAGCTCGTCGAAATTCAGGGTGGAGCCACCACGTCTTTTGTAAAAGTCCTTGAGACGATTCAGCTAACGATAGAGTCATTGAGCTGAATTTCGTTGTATTAGTACAATAACGAAGCTTGATGATGACGAAGATCTCATGTGGAGCAAGCGTGTGGATTGTCGCTCTAGCGATAGTTGGGCAAAGCGCTACGAAGAGCGTAAGAAGAACTTGAAGAAGAGCTGAAGAGAACCTCTATATATTAGCAGACCCACTTTTGAGTGGAGCGTTGTGTATTGGGCCAGGTCTTATTTCACATGTTGTGTGGCCTACATTGTTCTTGTGTCGTACATTTACTGTAAACACTGTATACTTGTAAATTTCTGTTCAGTTCTGCCGTATCTGAACTGGAAGTATTTATCAGGTTAGAAAGGTCAAAAGCATATTGGCTATAATAATAAATGCCACTTCATCTTTCCTCCTCTCTACGTTAGTCAATTTTCCGCTGGAAGCGAGCAAAACGCGGTAAGGCGTGTCAGTTGACCGAAGCCTTCTTCAGAAAAGTGTGTTTACATGGACGGGCAATTCCCGTTAGAATGCTGGGCGTATAGTAAGCGATAAGCCGATATAAACTGCTATTCCAGATATGAACACTTCAACATCAAGCTAAAGAAGGCCTTCGAAACTTTACAAGGTGAGTTTCAAGCACGTGCCGAGTTCTTAAAGCTTCGTCAAGGTCGTAACGATCTACACTCGTATGCACAGCGTGCACTCTACCTAGTATGAAGCATTGCCGACGAGCCAATTAACGTTTCAACGCAAGTTGAAAGGTCATGGCAGGTTTAAATGATGGTTTGAACCGGATTCAACTGTTCCGTGCGTATCCCAAGACGCTGGAAGATGCCATCAACCGTGCAATGCAAAAAGAGTTAGCATCATGCATGCAAAAATCAATGACTTTGTACCAAGGCAAGCGCGTCAGTCGACTGGTACAAGTGATGGTCCAGCGTTAAAGGACATCTCGTACATTTCCACCCCGGAAATGGGCGTCCTCGCAACGATGGAAAGTGCTCCCGTTGTGGGAAGCCAAATCATATTGACCGGAACTGTAATGTGGCTTTGTCGAGTCGGCAACAGACACAAGGTGCTCGTTTGAATAATCGTGGGCGCTATAAAGGTCGTTGGTTCGAACGCTCCCACGGCTAAAAAACGGCAGCAATCAGTAGGGGCGAAGCTCCCTACTGGACTCGATAAGAGTACTAAGTACGTTGTGGTCACACATAACTCTGGCCCCAACGTGCATGACGCACATGCGGTTTGCGCTATGAGTAAAAGTGTCAGGCAAACTCACTCTGATTGTCCAACACGTCTTTGTAGATGGTTTTGAGATACCGCTACGAGCTTTGATTGATACTGGTGCATCGAACACTTTTGTCTGAGCGCAAGTTATAACTGGACATGGTGTTAGCCTGCCCAATGTGAAAGAAGGAACGATCATTCGTTTAGCAAAAAGATCTAGAATGAAGATACCAAAGTAAGTTATTTGCTTAGCAAAGAAATTAAAGGATTTTCGAGCTTATCCTACTCGACCTCGACGATAAGTTTGTTATCATCCTAGGCATGGTATAGTTGAAGCGTTATCAGCCTAGCATTGAATGGGTGAATATGGAGATCATTGTTAACCAGTCGTGCTGCGCTAATTCTAGCTGTATGATGACGGATGCTGTAGTGTGGTTGTATGCAAAGTCATATGTGTCTTTGGAGATGTTGTGGCGTGCGGTGGTCCTCCAATACTCACCGACGAAGTCCGCGAAGACGAAAGTAACGACACAAACTGGCGGTCAAGTAGACAGGCGTCAGGGAAAGATAGCCTCCTCTGCCATCGACAGGGAAGTCATGGTCGATGATATTAGGAAGAATATTGGGGTTAAGGCAAAGAACCACCCCAAGAGAAGAGACAGAAGGCCACCAAGAAGAGTTTTACGTCAAGAATTTGCGTCTGTGAAGAGACGCTGAAAAGCTGGAGCACTATGCTGCCACGTGCGGAGATCGCTCCGAAAAATGCAGCGCATTCATCTACCGGCTACACGCTGTTCTACATGAGCGGGATTGTTTATCCTCGCGTCCCGCTGACGCCACCATCCCATGGCTCAGAGCTTGTTATAGTGAATTAGCTGAGCAGCTGGCTGATGTCAGCCAACTCATTGTCCGTAATAAAGTCGACGACTTTCTGCCTACCAGACTAAGTGTCTTACGACACGTTCGCAATGCGATGGCTGAAAGCGAAGCCACGCAGAAAGAATATGCAGACGAAAGAAGCAGAAGAAATGTTGAAAACATTGAGGTCGTAGACCTGGTTCATAATGCTAAAAACCTTTCAGTTCCGGCTGTCTTGAAAACGAAGCTCCGTCCACGATTTATTGGACCTTTTAAGGTCGTGGCTAAGAGGGACTTTGTGTATACGCTGAACCTTCAAGAAGGATGCGGTGCTTTATGTTGGCTTGCTTAAGCCGTACCGGGATCCGGCGCAAGTGAACGCGGAAGCGTGGTGCCGGGTGGCGCCAAAAGTAACTCGGCCACCCAGAAGCTGAACCAATAACCGGTTTTTAGTGCAACAATCTCCGTTTCCAACGGCGCCAGGCACTCCACCGTCGCATGAAGTGACGTATTCGTCTGCTCGACGGCTAGGAGCCGCTCTGACAAAGCGCGATAGGCCTCAATGCGAGGTAGTCGGTGCATAAAGTGCTCCAAGCTCTCAAGGTCTTCCGTACAGCGGTAGGCGACCTCAGCACGATGAGCATCACGAGTCATAGGACGGCGATCGACCATGTCGTTATCGGACTCTTCTCGATGATAATGCTGGCGTCCACTATCACGTGGAGCGCCTTGTGGGTCGATGTCGTCGACAGGGTCAAATTTAATATTTTGTGAACTCGTGAGAGTTTGAGGTGCCACTTCGGCAAGACAACACGACGCCGTGATCAAAAGGACCATGACGCTTCGCGCTTCTCGGTGTTAGCTCGGGATGCCAGGGTCATGAGCTGAGCGCACGCTTCATAAAAAGCTCCTCATCTTCTGCCGCAGTTTCACCACAGGCGAGCACCCCAGGAATAGTCCGCATTGCGGATCAGGTGCGCCTCCTCTATGAGCACGAAGTTGAGCGCGGTACCTATCCTCTTGAGATTTCTTGAGGTACCAAGAAGCGAGCTCGGAGAGCTTTTGGTTGGTCAAGCTTAGTGGCTGGGAGCTCGATTACGTAGACGCCTAACGATCGAGTGATCGCTGTTTCGCTTCAGTAGCGGGACTCGCCGAGCGGAAGCCGTATTTTACACGAGGGTATAAAACCGAACGTGGATACGAGTCGCCCTGTGGGCAGCTCCTACTGCTGCTCTTGTGCTTCGTTACTGCGATTGGGAATAATACCACTTCCCCCGAAAGTCGAGAGTGTCGGGAAACAGACACGGTCTCCACAAGGTTCGAGCAGAGCACACGTCACGCCGTTGCCGAACCCGATGAGTTTCCGACTTGTAGTCAACTTCACCCGAATCCTCGACAAGGAATCTGTCGTCCGTGGCAAGCACGGATTGTGGCGCCCGGTTGCCGAATGTTTGGGATACGCTTCCCGTGAAGCCGTGGACGTTCTGTCCGGATTGCACTTCGGAAGGTGTTTTTCGTGTCATAGACACAGGGCTCATTGAGCAGAGAATGCGTGGAGATGGTACTAGGGACGTGCTGGTGTCTTAGACACGCGAGCCTTGTACGAAGCAACAATTATATGTGAAGTGTGGGTATTTACAATTTCGACGGGGGAGAGTGTAACGAGGTTACACCTACCCTGGTGTGAAAGGATGGGCCGCACAAGATGGTGTGACCGTACAAAGTTTTGGATTACACAAGGCGGTGTAATCACACACTGGTGTGGCTTCACCGTTACAAAAAGCCACTACGTGGCAGGACTGCCAGTAGTAATGCATATTAGTTAGGTTTTTCTATTTAATTAGGAAAACATAAGATTTAGATTTAGGCAGCTCTGCCGCAAATAAAATTGACAAATACAGTTTGAATTTTGAACGGAAGTGTACATTTGCCTTGGGTTAGGGATTTTGGTACTCTTGAGGGTAGCGGATCGCATTCCGCTATTCGCTTATTAATTCCAACGGATTTTTACTAAAAGTGATCGGTCTTTTATTTATTAGTAGCCTCAAGAAATCGATCACTTTTGACAGGAGG